GAAACTGGAGTTTTTAATAATAGTGCACAGTCAAAATTATGAAAAAAAATGGAGTCTTAATTGTTGTTATTGGCAATAGTTTTACTTCGGCTCTGATTTTTCTTAAATTGGTCCCATTACTCTTTTGTAATTATAGTCCTAGTCATCCTCATTTTTTTTTTTTTTTTGATATGTCTTCTTCTCTTTCCCAAGCCCACACAGTTTTCTTTTTCTTGGAGCGAGTACCCATTTCTGACAGGAACCTGCCCCACCTCCGCTCAGATTGCCTAGATAATCCAAGCAGAGCTGCCCCCGCCCCAACAACGTCCTGGGACATGTCACAGGTCCAGGGGCAGACTGACCATTCCAGCACTCGGGCGCTGCCCGAGGGCCTGGGGTCAGTAGGGGGCACCATGAGATGCCCCTGGTACCTTTCATAGGCTTTTTGTGGGTGTGGTTTGAGTTTTGGCAAGGACACAGGGGCCCCATGATCCCCTATTGCCAGGGGCCCCATAAATTGTCAGTCCGCCCCTGCACAGGTCCCAGGAGGCTGCGGTTCCATTGAGAAAGTGCAGTGCTACTCACACATGCACAGTGGGATGCAGTGTGAAACATCAGTTTTCCACTTACAAGAGGGCAGCACCAGGGACCTGAAGACTGGTGAATAAATGGCCCGGGTGAGGACAGCGCTGGATCCCTGGACTGGTAAGTGCATTCTTATTAAACATCATAGGCTACATTATTTGTAGCTGCTGACTTTTATTTTTTTCTCTGGCACAAAGGTCTTCTTTAACGGTGTAACTGGAGCCATTGCAATCCAAGTGACAACTATGGGATCTACACATCTCTGAGCTCAGAAAAAAAACCCCTGTTCCAAACGCCACCACTATCCTACCGCATATTAATTTAGAAATGCAGAATTAGTTGGGGAATAGTTAGGATATAAAATAAATATAGCTGAAAGATCTCTGCCAGACTACTTTAATATGATGGTGTACTTACTATTGGTAATAATGACATGTTTGGGGTTGACTTACCAGATGGAGTTGAGAGGCAGAATGACCTATGCAGATTTTCCGTATTATTGAAGACTGTCCACTGATGACTCAGGGACAAGAGGAAAAGGACCCCAGGATCTCCCTAGAGAACGCTGGGAAAAAAGAATACAAACATATGTAGTATTGTCAAAAATGATTTGCTTATTCCTAATTTTCTCCAACATTGTTATTTTTTTTACAGTTGTACTATTGCACCTAAATAATAATGTTGTGCCTATTTCTCAAACTCCATCTATTGGCTACTTGAACTTTATATAATAATAATAATAATTGGAAACCAGATAGAGCTTAAAGCAGAGAATTTCTCTTCTCTTCTTGTTTTGGTGACAACCCAAAATTTAGGATTTTCTGTTACTTCATTCCTTTCGCTTCTTTCACATTTCCGTAGTTCATAGGGTTAAAAAAAGACATGTGTCCATCCAGTTGAACCTATGTGAGTATGATTTTTATTTTCTAACAAATCCCTTAGCCCTGAATATTCTGCTCTCTTAGGAAGACATGTAAATGTTTTGAAGATGTCAGCACTCTCAGCTATTACCAATTTCTGGGGAGGGAGTTCCACATTTTAAAGCCCAACTCCAGGCAACTATAAAATATCTCTTGCAGTGGGGCGGTGGACTGTTCCTCAGTGTCATCATGTCCACTGCAGTGGTATGGACCCTGATTTGGTCTTAATGACATCAGGATCCAAGATCAAGGAGAAAAATCTAAGGGTACAGGTCTAGCTGCAAGGAGTAGCAGAGGACCAGATAAGTATGTTGTCTTTTTTTTAATGTTCCCCTAGACCTAAACTAGCAATTAATCCTTGCAGTGCAGGAACAGACCCACTGCAAGGGATACTTTTTACATGCCCAGAGTTGAGTTTGCCCTGCTTTAACAGTAAAAAATCCTTTATACAATCCAAGGTTAAACCTCCTATTTTTCCAAATTTAAATAGTGGGTGCATGTCCTCTTCAGGGACCTTAGAGTATACAGTTTATTACACACTTCAATGTGATAAACATGACAAGTAGAAATCTCCCTAATGGGGGCACAGATAGCAATAAAAATCCGATAAGTGTCCTAATCCCTGTCCATTTCCATCCAGAAATTAAAAAAAAAAAAGGTTCTGCCTTTAGTTATACTTTAAATACTTTTCACAGCACTGCCTGAGTGTAAATCTTAATTAAACATTCAAATTTGGCTCAGAACAAAATTTTTTGAAAACAGTAATAATAAATAAAAATGATAAGGATTGTCTGGAAATACTCTTGCTAGTTGCCTTAGTCAGCAGCTCCTCTTGCAGTATACTTTAATCATCAAGTAGAAAAATTAACTGTATACATGCATTTACTAAAAAAAAGAAGTTTCCAAAAAGTAAAGAAATGATAGGGGAAAAAAGCCTTAACATACCTCTTTCATGAGGCTATTAAATACAAATATATTTACAAAGAAAATAAATTGTGTTCGCTAAAATTAATTTCTACATTTTATCAAACTGTGAGAAATATTGTTTTGATCTTGCAGAGCTGATGGAATAAATACGTTTTTTGTTAATGGTAAAAATTAAAAGTAGAAGTAGAAGTTATTCTCATAGATGTCATTTTTGGGTGTCCAATCACAGTTGCATAGGAACATGTATTGCTATGGTGGCACACTCAAAGGTGGTGGTGTGCCAGAGAAGTCCATATGGCCCCAGATCACACAAGGTTAAATCTCTAGAGGATTCCAGTGGCCAGATACTTTCACAACAGTTTGAATCTGTCTCATCCAGGAAGGTGTTACAGTGGATGCCCAGATGTATTATTTATTACAGAGAATCCAGGAGTTAGATTGTGACACCTGTATTTAGCTTTCTTATGGTCCTGGCAGTTGGCTGGAATTGTGAATTCAAACGAAATGAGTATTGCCAGTGGGCTCCCTAAATGATACAAGAATCTGAAATAGATTTGGGTGGCAATGGATTTACCTTCTTAACTATAACAAGGATTCCAGCTGGTAAAATGTATCTGAGGCTCTACAATATGTACTTTTTGTGTAACATTCTCATCATCACTGTGAAACATCCACATTGTATTCTTCTTGCCTTTCTTTTTTTTGCAATGTACTGCTGATATGCCAGTCTTCATGTCCTTCAGTTTAAAAATGTTATGCTCTCTTTTGTTCTACATGTTTCTGTTAGGACAGGCATGAGAATGAGGTATTTCCTAGGTTTTTTAAGCTCCTATTCTGACCAGTTTAGAGAAGAGGTTTCAGACTTCAAAGAAGCAATTTAGACTTCTTTGGCCCCTTTCACACTGACGGTCCGATCAGGTCCACCTGACATTTTTCAGACAGACCCGATCAGAAGACCCATAGCTTTCTATGGAGCAGTGGGTGTCAGCAGACATATGTCCGCTGACACCCACTAGCATCCGATCCGATCCTGTACACTAAACACAGGTGGATCAGATCTGATGACAGTTGAATGGAAAAGGACAGTTGGTCTATTTCCATCCAGCTGCATCATAGAAAACAGCTGGCTGTTTCTGTGTCTGCTCTGCATAGTGGAGCGAACTCGGACCTATCATCTGCCTGCTCAGCAAGCATCAGCAGAGAGATTGCCCACTGAGCAGACAAGATCCACTTGACAGAGTCAAGCCCCATCTGAACGGAGCCTTAGATCAGAAGCCACTTGTACAGTAGATGTGCCTCTAGTAGATAGAGGCATGTGATATTATTCTGTAGTTTTCCTTGTAAAGAAGACTCCCTGGAAATTTATCCTGTACTCGGCTTTAAGAAAAAAACATATGCCTCAAAGTTTGCTCCTCAGCTATAGATTATTTAATTTTTTTTCATACTCCGTGAGAAATCAAAGTAAGCAATTTTGTACAGGACAGGGCAGAAGTCCATACAACTGTGTGAGACTGCAGGTGAGGCTGGAGATCAGCTTTATCTCCAGGTTGGAGCCTTGCTTTCCTATTCTCAGTGTGGGACACATTCCCAAAGTGTGGGTCAGGCAGCTGATAGGGCAAACAGCAAATATTAAAAAAGCTGAGAATCACTCTTGATTAACTACATACTCCCCACTGATCTATCCAGTATAATGCTCATAACCTTACTATACTTATAGTAACACATGCTACCAAGAAGGTGCAAACAGATGCTTAACCCTGGGTTGTGTGCATTATGAGTACAAAAATAATTTTTATTTATGAATTCGTCTAAAATTACAACAATGCAAAACCAAAAACTTTTCACCAAGTTCAAAAATGACAACATTATCCCAAACACTGCACAAAACTGCCATATGTGGTTAATTTACTAAAAGTGGAGATTGCAAAATCTGGTGCAGCTGTGTATGGTAGTCAATTATATATGTGACTTTTCTATGAGCAAACACATCAGATCAAAAGATAAAACCAAAACTAATCTGGATATATAAAAAAATTTATATTAGTTTTGGTTTTATCTTTTGATCTGATGTATTTGCTCATAGAAAAGTCACATATATATATTGTTTAGTGGCCTTCAAGGGTGAAGGTAGATCACTTTTCTGGGATATTATAGGTTTAAGTGTTGTGATATATAAGTATTTGTGTATGGTAGTCAATCAGCTTTTAACATCACCTTGTTCAATTAAGCTTTGACAAAAAAAACTGGAAGTTGATTGTTTATTCTCCAGTTTTAGTAAATCACCCCCTATATCTGCTACTGTGCATGATGTATTCATCAAATAATGTGCTAGAAATCAAGGACTGATGTAAAAGTCCCTAATGAGTTTCACATCAAATATGTGATTCCTGGAATATAAAAATAATCATGGTGGGGCCCCAATTAGTCCAATAACTATGATAGAGTTTCAGTCAACATCTTCACTGCTAGGAAAAAGAAGCTGGTATAACTTAAACAATTTCTTGCATATTTTATGACTGTAAGGCTATTCAATTCACTGAGTTATCACAGGGATAGTTACATTAATAGCCGACTTGTATACTGAATAGAATACATGGTACCAGGGGTGGACTGACAACTCATGGGGCCCCCGGGCAATAGGGGATCATGGAGCCCCTGTGTCCTTGCCCAAACTAAAAAAAGCCTATGAAAAAGGTACCAGGGGCATCTCATGGGGCATCTCATAGGGCCCCCTACTGACCCCGGGCCCTCGGGCAGTGCCCAAGTTTCCAAGTGCTCAGTCCGCCCCTGCATGGTACACTAATAAATAAGACAAATGTATCCTCACCAGCCACTAAGAGCCCCATGGATGTATGGCCATCAGATTAGTGTAACCTAAAGATATTTATTCATAAGTGGGAAGTAAACTTTTAAGGAGCATATCTTCACCATGCTACCCCAGCAATTTTGCTGATTCCACTAGGCTGTCCATGCTAGAAAGTGTATCTGATCATGCGGTAATTATCTAGCTGATCTAACATTAGTTGTAGCATCCCTCATGTAGTCCAAACAGGAGTAATAAAGTGATCCGAAACCATTGGGAGAGCACACCAACGTGTTTCGTCCACACTGTTGGTGAACTTTGTCAAGGCAACAATAGGGTAGTAATTGCCAGATTTCATGTGACTTTTCACCCCTTGTCTCAAGCCTAAAGTGTGTGACAAGTGATAATTCAAATATAAAAGTTTCAAATATAAAAGTCAAATTCTTGTATACTACCATTCATAAACTCATTCAAAATGCTTGCAGATTTCAGATGTATGGGATTCACCTACAAGGCACAATTGGCCATTGCTCATCTTTTCTGAGGTGAACCATTATTCTGTAAGGCCAACTCAAATGCATGTGTGATATGTCAAGCACAGCTGGCAGGCTGTAAGCATTGACACAGTATAGAGCTCTCCCTGCATCTGCATCTCATATATGGTACCTGGTTCTGGTGAAGGAGAAGAGGGCATTTTAGAGGTCATATTTTAAAGTGCACCTATTCTATAAAGATAATTTGCCACTAGTGATCTATGTTTAAGCAAAGAAAGACAACAGAGAAATTACTGCTTATGTGTAGCAATTAGCAACGTAAAATCTTCTTCTAAAGCTAATTATTTTTGTTATAAATTTAAAATGGAACTTTACTCATAACAAATTGATTAAAAAATATTCTTTAGCAAGGAACCTACTTTCCACATTAATAATTATGTTACCAAAATTAGTGTTTGCTGTAAATTGCCTCCAGCATTGCTCCTGTTTCTTCTTGCTTGAGTCTGCCATTTTACTGAAGCCCAGAGCCCCTGAACAGTAGTAAATCATGAGGTGGAACTAAACCCTGTCGGGTTTTCTAACTGTCACATTTGCTTGCTTTCTCAACCAAACTTTCAACCATCAAATGGCTGGAGTCATAACTGATTACGTGTTCAGCACCATGGCAGTTGAAACAGAAGCAGCTTCCTTGGCTGTAAAGGATAGGAGGATTTCAGGCTGCCAACAGATCAGCCTCTACAAATTTGGTAGCGCCTAAAAATGGAGAGCAACGTAGCATGTGCAGAGCAGGGTGAGACAGTGTATTACTTGATTTTACACAGTATAGGCACTTATTTGTAACATAGCTATACCTGCAAATGGGGACAGTCTGAAGTCATCTAGCAGGACTTAATTTTCTGACTTAAGTTTCACTTAAAAAGTCAACTTAGCCAGATGGAAAATTATCGGCCCAACACTAACTGCTTCTTACCAGATGCAATCACTGTTCGGATATTCAGACAACAGCCAATGTCACGGCTTCTTGAAAACAGAAGCTGATAGGGGAGGTTTCTCCACCTGTGCTATTTAGTGTGGATAGAGGTATTGATTGATTTCTCTTGTTTAGCCCAATCAATGTATGGCTAGATTTAGATTTAGGGAAAACTCCTTACCTGTTCAAAGTACAAGGAACGAGAAAAATCCACATGTGTATGGCCAGCCTAAAACTCTGCTACATCTGTGTGCCAGGGCACTGCAGACATCTACAGTGGCAACACTCCTAATTCATTAATACAAATACTGACACATCTATTGGATACATACTTAATTTACATAGTGAACTTATATACGACCGACAGGATTTTCTTGAGGACCAATTGGGGGTTATTTACTAAATCTGGAGCGTGCAAAATCAGGTGCAACTCTGCATAGAAACCAACCAGCTTCCAGATTTTATTTCTAGAGCTTAATTGAACAAGCTGAAGTTAGAAGCTGATTGGTTGCACCAGATTCTGAGGGCAGGGTGTTTTAGTAAATACCCCCATTATATTTAAAGTGGATTACAAAGCAAATTATCTTTGTGAGAAATGTCAGATGGAAGCAAGCATTTTTTTTGACTAACAGACTGAATACTAGATGTAAAGCAGTAAAGATAACCCTACTAAGATTCACTGTGAGTGAAAATACAGTTCCCCGAGGTCAGATAATAACAATCGCCATGTGAATACACCTACATGGATGTTTTGGTTAGTGATAGATTCCATTTAGAAGGATGCTTCCAGATCCCTTCTGGTTTAGTTGACTCTCACTGGCAGCAGCCATATTCCAACAAAGGACTATGTACTAGTTCGGGCTGTGTGGAAGGAAAGAACTCAGCAGCTTCAGTTTGAGAAACATGTCTGCAGAAGGTAGGATGGTGTCTGTTTTGAGAGAAAATTTCCAACCTCAACTTAGCTAGAATAGAAAGCTAGACAGAGTCTCTTTTAGTCCACATAAAGTAAAAACTAGGTGCAATATTACACAGTTATTTAAAAATATTTTGAGTGACAGACCTCCCTATGCAAAATGCAGTCAGACATATACCATATACAGTATATCTATAGCATGAGACGCAATATTGTTATACCATTTAATTCCATGTATCCACAGATGAGGGGAGCTCTAGCACCGTATAAATTTATTGCAATCTTACTTTCTTACAGACAAAAATACCTCTAAACGCTCAGAAATAAGGAAATAAATTTGGTCAGTGTTTTGGAGGATGAAAACATCATAACAGGAGTTATGAAGAAGTTAAAAGATTCAGTTAAACAAACTTCTTTCAAAAGACAAAAGTAAGATAGTCACCAGAGAAAAGTCCACCAAAGGATCAGCAAAAGTTTCTGTCTGTTTTCTATGTCTGCTTCTTCTTTGATATCTTGTTTCCTAACAGAAGAAAGACACTTTTTTATGGATTGGAATTTTATGTGTGTTCCGTTACCTTGAAACCTTTATCTCTTTGTTAATTCGTGCCTCTGTAGCACATTTCATCTTTCGCCTTGGATGAATAGGCTACAAAGAATTATACGGATATCCCATAAGATAATATGCATGAACCCTTTTTCTATAGCATTATCCATCCAATCCATTGTGACAATACAGAATATGAAGGCCAATTTTCATTTCCTTGGAATGGTCCATTACATTGTGACCATTCTACTGTAGTTCTTCAATGCTTTGTACTCTACACAAAAGAAGATCTAATCATGTTTCTGGAGAAAGACCATCATCCCCCTCTTTTGTGTAACATAACCAAAGTCGATATGGATGTGAAGTATGGTAATGACACAACTCAAATATTCTGTATTAGCACCAAGGCCCCCAAAAAGGTGTCTTAGAACTTTGACTATTATCCGCCTTTCGTTTGCTTCTTTCTTTCAAAGCCCTTATCTTTCATTTTTTTGTGATTTCCCCCCCTAACACTTTAATGACATCTCTTAAGATTCTACTTTTCAAATAATGCCTTAGAATGCCTGCTTTTTTTACACAATGTTCAGATAGGAAGAGCGAAGGCTACATCTATCCAAGACAGAGTTTCCTTTTCAAATCAATAAGGAACCCAGAAGAAATATAAGAAGCCCAAGTCTGACCAGATGCCCCTTCACTGAGAACTCTGCTTTAGAACATTGACATGTTGATGAATTCAGCACCTGGTGGATATCCCTTTATCCTCTACGTATGTCGAAACAAGGCCAAAGGGGTGCCTTAAAGAAAATACAGCAACACAGTAGAGAGGTTTCTTGGATAATGGCTTTCATTTAACAATCCAACATACCTTTGTTCTTTTCTGGTTTCCATACATCTTTTGGCATATAAAAAGTTGAAAGTTGGAGTATTTGGGGTGTTTTGTAAAGTTGACCAAGTCCTGTAGCAATTCTCTAATGATATCATTTTTCTTGTTCTTGGAATCTTTGGGTTTTAAACTGTTTTGATTTTTAGATGAGTATATAATGGTTTAACACAATAGAGTTAAAGGCAAATCCTCACTGTACGCTAAAATAGATAGTTGGGTCGTGATAGAAATAACAGAGGTTACAGTTATATTCTCTCCTTTGTATTTTTTTTTTTACTTTTTATACATACAGTATATAGGACTGGATGAGTTTACAATTATTGGATAAAATAGTTTTTTGTCCTTACGTTATATTTTTATTTACATTAATCATTTATAAAATTAATTGTATTTCTTAATGACATTTTTGTGTAGATATTTATCATTCTAAAAAAATTATCATCTTCAGTTAACTGCAATTTTTGTCTTTTTCATCAATTAACATGCAATGTTTTGGGTGTTTTTTTTTCTTTAAAAATGCAGCGTGGTTTAATGTGTTGTATGTTAATTTTTTTAAAGCGGACAACCCTAAAGTATTGCTCCTGTTATACTAGCTGAGCATTAATCATAACCCCACATTTCTGATTAATGTGATATTGTGCAGTAGTATAATGCATTTTGTACACTACGGGGGATATTTTATAAAACTTGAAACTCACTTAGTAGGGTTATCTTTACTGCTTTACATCTAGTATTCAGTCTGTTAGTCAAAAATGCTAGCTTCCGTCTGACATTTCTCACACATGTTGCTTTGTGATCCACTTTAAAGATAATGGGGGAGATTTACTAAAACTCCCTTCCCTCAGAATCTGGTGCAGCTGTGCATGGTAGCCAAAAAGCTTCTAACTTCAACTTGTTCAATTAAGCCTGGAAAATTATTGGTTTCTATGCAGAGGTGTTTCAGATTTTGCACTCTTCACTTTTAGTAAATCTCCCCCAGTGTTTCTTTTCTATTTCACATCACTTTGTTTCCAAAAGCCCTTAAATAATATATGACATTCTATGTAAAATATTTCCTTTTGTAACAAAGATGCTTTGTCTACAGAGACGAACAGGAGCAAAGTTATTTTCAAGGGTGAAGATCTGATTTAAGTCCAGGGCCAGTTTTCTAATTATTCTTAATTCACTTTCCTGAAATCAGATTGGTACAAGATAGATTATGATAGCATGTTTTGGGTTACTTTCAAATTTTCAGAAAGCTACAATACACTTGGCACTACATACACTTTCATTGAATATTCTGATTGT